TTATACATCATAATTTGGATACAAAACATCCGAAAAAAGCTATAAATTCCAATGCATACAAAGATTTCACTGATTCAATCAGGAAAAAAACACTCTTGTACTCTACATATACGAATATCTCATCCAAACAAATAAAAATATCGAAAAAAATACCTGATTGTTTTTCGATTGTTCACTAGATGCGACAAATTTATAGTTGTCAATTTTGAAAAATTATGTTTCAAAAATATGTCGTATTCAACTTGAAGAAGCTTTGAAAGTTATTAGATGAATGATTCGGAAGACAAACTAAATTATTTTATTATTTTATTTTGATGTTCTTAAGAAGAAAGAAAAAAAACGCTCGACGGAAAGATGACTGTTTATGCTCTTTTTAAATGTAACTGATTTGTATTTAAAATATTTTTTACTTTATTTGAATTTTTTCGTTCCATGATTTTCTCTGTTCTGTTATTAATTATTTGTATTCTTTCAAATTAATCAAAATAAAATAAATACATAACTAATCTCTTAACAAACTAAAATAATGACATTTTTAATAAATAATAAAACTGTTGCTAAGGAGTCTCATTAAAAGCTAAAATATTGTTGTTTTGAAAATTTTCTCAATAAAAAGGGAAGGTTGTGAATGTTATTATACATTGTATTAAAATAATGTGAATATACATAGATGTGAAAAGTGAAGTATAAAAAAAATTTAAAGAAATACTTTTGTCATTTCACTTATTTTATCCTAGCATTACTATTCCACCTAAGGAGATGAATAACTTATCTCAGTACTAATTACTAATTCTGAGATAAATTATCCCGGACTTGCCAACCAAACAACAAATTAAGTGGCACCATAATTTAATCCCAAAATATTTGGTGTTATCTTTAACGACCCCTAAAACTTCTTTTCTTTTCCCCTTTCATCTTGATTAAATACAAAATAATGCCCCTTTTAAAATTAAAGATACTTAAAATAACATTTGTCCTTGAACGTATCAAAAAAAAAAATGAAATGCCAAAATATATACACCCACTATGCATATCTTACATAAACTCTCAATATAAATTATATTTTTTGAAACTCATTTGATTGCCTCGAAAATCATGGTACTCATCCCCGCTAATCATAAATCACCCATAGAAAAAATAGATAAATTCCACAAAATGACCAGAAGAGTCGTTAGACTGGAAGCAAAAAATCCAGTTTTAGCAGCTAGAAAAGGACAATACTCCATGGAAAAAAATAAATCCAAGGGATGTTTGAATAAGTTAGTTAGGCTACCAGCAGACGAAAGCATTTAACAGGTCCCTCTATTTCATTTGACATTTACATATTATGGAATATAAAATTAGCCATAGGAATTAATAAAGTTTGCAGCCTAGAAATGTCCTCCAAATGGCAGCAATTTAAGACTTTTGCTTTCCCCTTCAACTAGCCATCTAACTATTTATTACCTACAGAAGATTACAAGTAGAAAAAGTCATGAAGAGTTCATGACTTTTTTCCCCTTGGCAGAATATAGAAAGTTTCTTTAACTAACAACTTAAATATTACCTAGTCATGAAATAGCAACGCGTACAAGCATGAATGAACTCATAGTCTCCTCAGTATATCCCCCAACTGGGAATTTGCTGGAAGCACTTATTCACATCTCTAACGAAGTATTTTCAATGGAAAAGCTTCCATTTGTACAGATGAAAAACATTTCAAGTATGGTAAGAAGGATCAAGATTCTTACTTCATTGTTTGAAGAAATTCAAGAAACATCATCCGCTGCACGACTTCCACCATCTTCCATCCTCTGCTTGGCTGAACTTTCATGTGTCATACAAAAGGTAAAGCTGCTTATTGAAATTTGCAAAGAGGGAAGCTCTTTGTGGAACCTCATGCAAACAGAATTGATTTCCAACCAATTTCATGCACTCATCAAGGAGATGGACAACGCACTTGATATTTTACCTCTGAGGTTGCTTAATGTGACTGTTGACACCAAGGAGCAAGTGGAGCTACTTCACAAGCAGGCGAAAAGGGCTGATTTGTTCATTGATCCCCGAGACATTCACAAAAGGGAAGAGATTTTGCAGTTGATGGCTACTAACTGTGATAGGAAAAGCAAGAACAAAGGCCTCATTGACTTTGAGAGAGTGAAACAGAGTTTCAATAGCATTGGTTTGACAACCTCATTGGACTATGAGGAAGAGATCTCAAAATTAGAGACACAAGCTGAGAAACAGGCAGGCACGGGTGGTCTTATCGCTGTCTCGAATATCAACAGCCTAATATCCTTGATCTCCTTGTCAAAAACTGCAATTTTGGAAGAAGAACACCTTATGAATAAGCAAAATTTGAAGCAGACCGTATCGATAAATGTTCTTCCTGATCAATCCTCGTCGTGTTATTCACTGGTTTCCGACATCCCTGATGAATTACGCTGCCCAATTTCACTTGACTTGATAAGGGATCCCGTGATAGTAGCATCAGGGCATACTTATGATCGAAATTCAATCGCTCAGTGGATAAATTCAGGGCACCACACATGTCCAAAAAGTGGGCAGAGGCTCATACATATGGCTCTAATTCCCAACTATGCACTGAAAAGTCTAATACAACAATGGTGCGAAGACAACAACATCCCAATAACAGAATTCAAATCAACTCCTTCAGTTTCAGAGAGTAGCAGTAGTAAGATTAAGAAATATGACAAGGCGGTTGACTACATTTCTGCTACTAAAGCTTCCACGGATGCTGTCAAAATGACAGCAGAGTTTTTAGTTGGGAAACTGGCAACAGGGTCTCCAGATATACAGAGACAGGCAGCATATGAGCTAAGATTGCTCGCGAAATCTGGCATGGACAATCGCAGGATCATAGCTGAGTCTGGAGCTATTCCATTTCTGATGACTCTGCTAGGTTCCCGCGATCCAAGAATCCAGGAGAATGCAGTCACAGCCTTACTCAACCTCTCAATACATGAGAATAACAAGATCCTGATTATGTCTGCTGGTGCTATCGACAGCTTAATTGGAGTTCTCCAATCTGGGAAAACAATGGAAGCAAGAGGAAATGCAGCAGCAGCAATCTTCAGCTTGTCTGTAATAGACGAATACAAGGTAATCATTGGGGCACGTACCAAAGCCATTCCAGCTTTGGTTGGACTTCTAAAAGACGGAACTACAGCAGGGAAAAGGGATGCCGCTATAGCACTCTTTAATCTTGCGGTCTATGATGCCAATAGGCAAAGTATAGTGCTTGCAGGAGCTGTTCCCCTACTCATTGATCTTCTCATGGACGACAAGGCTGGTATAACTGATGATTCCTTGGCGGTTCTTGCCCTCGTCTTGGGCTGCAACGAAGGGCTACAAGCATTAAGAAAGAGTAGGATCTTGGTGCCTCTTCTTGTTGATCTATTGAGATTTGGATCTTCAAAAGGGAAGGATCATTCGATAACACTTCTGCTAGGACTCTGCAAGGATAGTGGAGAGGAGATAGCGGGAAGATTATTGATGAATCCAAGAAGTATTCCTTCTCTCCAGAGCTTGGCTGCTGATGGCTCTCTGAGAGCTCGAAGAAAGGCTGATGCTCTCCTAAGACTACTTAATAGATGCTGCTTTCAATCTCAGTAAGCCTGACAGATTAGAGAAATGAATACACTGTTAGATGAAAATACTTTTCACCTTAGTTTATTGTTATTCAACCTTTATCCATTCACCTTCAACCTGATAACATCCAATCAAGTTGTAAAGCCATTCTTCATTAAAGCAACATTGAAATGCAAATTATTATGAGTCAGTATATAATTTCAGCTTTTGCTCCATCAAAAACCTTCTGATATGACTATAAAAAAAAAAAGAGAAAAAATCAAGGGGGGGGGGGGGGGGTTTTTTCCCAAAATTTCACC